GATCCAGCGATGCCAAACACACTGCCGCTCCTTCAGTCTGTGGCTGGAGCCGGGAGACATGGGTAAGACATCTCTCAGAGCCGTGAGCGTCTCCTCATTGCTGTGCTACTTCTAGGGATGGGCGATATGGGCTTAAAATATATATCACGATACTTTCTGGTATTTATTGCGATAACGATATCAATGACGATAATTCAAGAAATCCTGTTTCTTTAGAGAAAAGTATTATCTTTCCTATTTTTACCCAAAATAGGGTGTTGAGAGCATTACTGAGCACACACGCAATGTAAAGACTGTTTAATTCATACAGGAAGTCGGAGGGCGCTCTTGCGCAGAAACTCCACATGCATTGCACTGACGACGCTCCAGGAAATCCCTAATATGGACAAAGGCATCCAGTTATCGCTGAATAAAACGCAGATAGAGAAATTTTAACTGATGAAACTTGAATAAACATACATTTGCACAAAATATAGCTATGGTCTGTGTTAAGGATAAAGTACATTTATAATGCAATGCTAATCGACATAGCATTTATACTATAAAATAGAATGATGTCTGCCTCTCTCTGTGATATGAAGCCACGTCTGATCACATTCTTCTTCTGTGCGCAGTGTTGGCGGATCCGCGCTACTGGCTGCTGGAGCTCTTCGCGTCTGGAGCTCAGAGAGTGCTGTGTGACGGCCCTGTGCTCTGAGAACATCGTTCAGGAAGTGACATCAGCACTCGGTTTCTCTTTCTTCAGACGGCGGTGTTTCTGCGGAGCTGCTGGGATCTTCGGCTCCGGCGATGTTTTCTGATCCTCGCACCAGACGCTCGCAGACTTCAAAGAAACTATTTTGTTGAAAGAAAATCAAACCTATTTTAAGGATATTTTAGTACGTCTTGACATTGTTTTCATGATCATTAAGCGCATTTTGTCTACAAATTACTGGGATGCAAAAAACTAAAAATCTCATTACTGTAAACAAAAAAAAATTCTCATTACTGTTACAATACAATTAATTGATGTTAATATATAAAGTCAACTAAATTATTTTTACATTTTATGGTAGTATTTGTTGTACTGACTGAATTTAAATAAATGAGAATACTATTTCTGTAATACAGTGTTGAGAACAAGATTTTTTTTGGGAAAACATTTTTGTTAAGGTAAAAAAAAAGTGTAACGGTAATGAGAATAAATATAACTGATATAATGAAAACGACAATAATTTTTTCTGTATTAAATGAGAACGAGAATTTTTTTTTTGTTCAAAACATTTTTCCATTTTTTTTTTTTTTTTGTATGACGGTAATGAGAATCCGAGTATATTTTTAATTATGGTAATGAGAATGAGAATCATTTTGTTCAAAATCTCTTCATATGTTTTTTTTTGGTGACGGTAATGAGAATGATCATATTTTTCATTATGGTAATGATAAATGCATTTTTTTTTGTTTTTATGACGGTAATGAGACTTAGTGTATTTTTTTAATTATAGTAATGAGAATGAGAATTTTGTTCAAAATCTCTTCATAGTGTTTTTTTTTTGGTGACGGTAATGAGAGTGATCAAATTTTTCATTATGGTAATGAGAACAATTCGTTTTTTGTGTATTACGATAATGACATTGAGAATATTTTGTAATATTATGGTAACAAGAACTTGTCAGGAGGATCGAAGTTTGTTTAATTATGGTAATGATGGTGAATATTTTTTTGCATCGCAGTAACGTGAGTGTGTCGGAAATGCGTTTTGTTGTCACGAATCTAATTTCAGTGTTGAAATCTGAGTCGCACGTGTTCCGCGACTGCAGATCGGCCAATCAGAGCACTTTAAATGTTGGTCATCAGCCGATGATGTCATATCCTGGTCGAGCGATGACATCATCACCCGGCGTCAGACGGTTTAACGTAGCCAACGATTTTTGTCCTCTGGAGTTTAATCATTGTAAATAATGAGAATAAGATGCAGATGGTGTGATTTACTGATATGATTCAGAGATTTATGTTGATTGTGATTTTGCTGCAGGATTTACACAGTAAACAAAAGCTGCTGTTCGTAAATGCTGCGTGTGATTTCAGTGTTTCTTATGTGATTTCTGTGATTGTTCGTCACATTTGGAGTGAAAGATGTAATTCACTCTGGATGTCAGGTGTTAAGAATAATGGTCATTTTATAATGTCTAATGCTGCTCTGAATCCAATACAACAACAACAAAAAGCTGTTTATAAGGAACTTTGCAGTAGAGATTGAGCTGATGCGGCCGCCATCTTGGAACGGTCAACTTGACGTCATTCACCATAGTAATCACTGAATATTCGGAAGACGCCACAATCCTGCACAGAACCTACAGAATGGTGAATGACGTCAAGTTGACCGTTCCAAGATGGCGGCCGCATCTATGTGCCTGGAGCCGTCGAATGGGGCTTCTATACACATCTATGGCAGAAACGCTGGAACGCGGCGGAAGTGAATGTGGAGGACCGGATGTGAGTCTCTCTGTTGACGGCAGGGGGCGCTCTGTGGCTCAAACACACGGGACTTTGAAATTCTATAATTTAATATGTAATTATTATTTGTATTATTATATATTTTTTAGTATTTACTAACATGTTCATTAACAGAAATGGGGGAAAATAGTAAATCTTAACACCCATCATAACAAAACACAATTTATACATTATATTGAGATGCTACAACACAGCTATTTCATTTTATTCCTCTGAATATTATAATTCGTGTTCATTTATTAATTTATCATAGTTTTACTCTAGGTTCTGCAATGAAAGCCTCTTAAACATTCTGCTTTTTAGCGCACGTATTTGTTATTTCTGTTTATTTTTCTATACTTCTTTTAACCATTATTATAAGCAGCGCAGGTATATTTGTAGCAATAGCCAACAATACATTGTATGGGTCACAATTATAGATTTCTCTTTTATGCCAAAAATCATTAGGATATTAAGTAAAGATCATGTTCCATGAAGATATTTTGTAAATTTCCTACCGTAAATATATCAAAACTTAATTTTTGATTAGTAATATGCATTGCTAAGAACTTCATTTGAACAACTTTAAAGATGATTTTCTCAATATTTAGATTTTTTTGCACCCTCAGATTCCAGATTTTCAAATAGTTGTATCTTGGCCAAATATTGTCCAATCCTAACAAACCATACATCAATGGAAAGATTATTTACTCAGCTTTCAGATGATGCATAAATCTCAATTTCACAAAATTGACCCTTATGGCAGGTATTGTGCTCCAGAGTCAAAGTTGTCCATCTTATAAGTTGCTGTTTGAGCGCCGCCTGCCGGAGGACTGAGGCGCTGCGTCCGCCGCGTGATCGGTGTCGCGGTGCATGTCGGGCCGCTGGCGGTGGTGAGTATCCCAGCCTGCGCTGCTGCTGCTCCGGAGAGAATGATGGGATAGCGGCGGACACACAGCAGCGCTAAAGACACACGCACACCGACATTATTCGCGTTATTCCCGCGCTCTGTCCGTCTATGTGTGTGTTTGTTCGTGTGTGTGTGTGACACGAGGCCTGCGGCGTGCGCGTGTCTGCGTTCATCTATAAACACACTTACAAAAGTACTGTGGTAGTACCATGGTACAGTATTATCACCAGAATCATGTTCCAAGTGATTTACATGGTGCTCCCGGGTTCCTCGAACACACCACGGTATTACCATGGTACACGTGGAAAAACATGGTAGTAACATGGTACTTTTTAGTGTGTTTTGCAGCAGCGTAAATATGGTGCTTTTAACTTATTTAAAAACTCAACTGGACAGTATGTTGCTTAGCAACAGCGCCAGTGTCTGCTGGATTTATTGTAGTCAACTTCTGTTGCTAAGCAACGCCAAAAAGTTCGGTAGTAGGCAGGGCCATCATTTCGCGGCAAAATATCGACTGTAAACCGCAGCAAACACAATAACTTTCAAATCGGTCAGATTTCTGTTGGTCAACATGACAAATTCACCAACACTTAGCTCGAAACTCCCGATCGCGTGTATTTCGCCTGCGAAAACTCGATAAGTGGCGTGTGAAAGCTATACGCTTTACACTTAAAGTGTTTGAAATCACTTAACTTTGTTTTAGCAATTTTGTGCTGTCGTCATGTTATTAGTTTTTTAAAAATTATTCTATTAAGCTTTAATTTATATTTATTTCAGTTATAGTTTTAGCATGTTTAGTACTTAAACTACTACAAATAAAGTACTGGGTGTTTTGTAATTCTCATTATTTTCTTTTCCATGTAATTTTATAAGTACAATAAAATATTTGTAATTAAAATCGGCATTGGAGCAAATACAACGAATGCTAACGTGATAAAACAAATTAAATAATAAATAATTTTTCTGCGTTGTGATAATGAGAATTTGGGAGAAAAAATAATTCAAAGTGTCGCAATTATTGATTTTATTTATTCCTTTATTTAGACCGATAGAATGATAATTTGTTTTATTGCATTTTATTACTATAATAAATTTTAGCTATTAAAATCTGGATAAATTAAAGCCATTATAACAAATACTGCCATGATCAACAAAATACAATTTTAATAATAATTAATTTTAAGCAATGCGATTATGAGAATTTAGGAGGAAAATCAGCTTCGTTAACATTAAAATAATGTTGCAATACCAGGAATCTTGAACTTAATGAACCTAAAATGTCGAATATAAATTAAGCAATGTCAAAAACGCACAGTAGGTTAGTTCGTTAGTTGGTGCGGCAAAATATCCACTGTACGTTAATCACTGTAAAACCCAGCAGGTTTCCGTCGATCAACGCGATGAATTCTCATGACCAACGTTTTGCGCAAAACTCCCGATTGCGTGGATTTTGCCTACGACAATTCCCCGAATAACGGTAAATGTAGCCAAGGTGGCGTGTGAAATCTAAACGCTTTACAAACTTGAAACAAACTCAGTGATTCTCCTAAACCATTTTCAAATATCAGTCAAACTGTATTGTTATCGGACTGCTGTATTTGAGGTGTAAGGTGTCAGATAATGACTGTACGTGAGTATAGTTGTGTGATGCGGCTGTGTTTAAGGTGTAATGTGTGTGTGTTCAGAGCTGCAGTGAGATGATGGAGGGTTTGGGGCTTCAGGCCGTGGCTCTGAGCGACGGATCCACCGCTTACATACAGCAGACCATCAGCGGTGAGACAATCTCATGGAAATATGCACATAGTATTAGTATTATAACTAGTGCTGTCAAACGATTAATCGCGATTAATCGCATCCAAAATAAATGTTTTTGTTTACTTGCTTTATTATAACGTTCATCTAGAAACGCAACGTGCGCCATTTCATCGTATTTGTAAGGTAAATCTACGCAAACACAGGAGAATACATGGATATCTTTCTCAACGTGCTAACTGTTCATCGCGATTTCAAAATAAAAGCTCAAACTCTCGCTCTGAGTTTACACGTTTTGATGTCCACATATTCAAGAAATTACAGTGGCTGTAGGATTTCAATCGTGAAGAAATAACCAAATATTAAGTGGACATTTGAATCAAATGCTGTTTGGTCAGTATTAAACAAGGATTAGATCGCGCAGTAAAGTGTAAAACAATCGTCAGGCCGTTGGCGCCCTCTGCTGGCATTTGTTATTATGCGCAATGTACGTTAGCTCTATTGTTTGTAATAAATTACGTATTTTAACAGTTCTGTTCAATAAAACCACATGATTACTTGCTTTTGATACTTTATTTGAACGAATTATTATTGCCTTGTTGCTATTATATGTATTATTAATAGTGCTGTCAAACGATTAATCATGATAAATCGCATCCAAAATAAAGGTTTTTGTTTACATAATATATGTGTGTGTACTGTGTATATTTAGTATGTAAATGCACACACATGCATATATTTAGGAAAAATGTTTATATCGCATACATTTATTAATAATATAAATTATATCAGAATTAGCTTTATTTGCCAAGTGTGCGCAAACACGCAAGGAATTTGTTGTGGTTTTTTATATGGCTATGAATATAAATATGGTCAAACGATTAATCGCGATTAATCACATCCAAAATAAAAGTTTTTGTTTATATACTATATGTGTGTTTACTATGTATATTTAGTATGTAAATACACACACCTGCATGTATATATTTAAATATGTTTATATTACATTTATTTATAATATAAATTATATCAGAATTAGCTTTATTTGCCAAGTGTGCGCAAACATGCAAGGAATTTGTTGTGTTTTTTTAATATGGCTATAAATATAGACATGTAAATATTTTCAAAATATATGCTGTATGTGTGTATTATATGCATAATAAATAAATATACACGGTACACGCATATTATGTAAATAACTTGCGATCGGATGCGATTAATCGCGGTTAATCGCTTTACAGTACTTGTATTTTAAGTCATTTTAAAGGTTATTGTTCACTTAGGTCTTCAAAAAAATTATTGTAATTATCCGATCACTCGATTAATCGTCAGAATAATCGGCCGGTTACTCGAGTACCCAAATAGATGTTAGTGACAGCCCTGGTGTAAGAGATCTGACGGTGTTGTGATGTTCAGATCCGAGTCTAATGGAGGGAAACACGGTTCAACTGGAGGACGGGACCACGGCGTTCATTCAGCACGTCAGCGTCCAGCAGAAAGGTGTGTGTGACGCCGCCGAGCAAGTGTGATACCAAAGTCCCTTTCAAGGGAAGTCTGTTCACTCGGCGGCCATATTTGCAACGCCTCCGGGCAGCTCAAACAAGGCCAAGTCCTATCTAAATGAATGGGGGAATCCTGAAATCTCAAAAACTGCCCTATGAACTCATAATTAAATTACACGTTTAAAATCGGCAACAAAATCTGAAATTAACTGCCACATGAATGGTGTTTCTTATGTTCAAATAGTGTTTAAAAAGCTTATTTTTTTAGGCTAGACCAGCCAATGCACATGCGCAGTTATAACGCGCTTAAGACTGGCTGGTCTAGCCTCCGGTTTCTATGGAAACCGGAGATTCTAAAGCCCCGTTCACACCAAGCACGATAACTATAAAGATAAAGATATAGTTCTAAAAATCGTTCTCAATATTGAAGAACAGCAGAGTCCACACCACAGCTATAACGATAAAGGCACAGAGATACGATATCGTTGGAATCACTTTCAGAACTATTTTTTTTCCAGCTGATGAACGATAAAAACATTGACAGCCAATCAGAATCTATCCTAATATAACGAGCTGGAGAATTTAAAGCGGCAGACGAGCGTGCGCTTAGAATAAACAGATGATATCGTCCGCTAATATTGTTATAGTCATCGTTATAGTTATTGTAAACTGGGCTTAACGGCCACTGCAATGACGCAATCAGTGCGTCCCAAATCGCGTACTTACGCACTATTCTATGACGTTTTGTAGTATAAATAGTGCGAGTAGTGTGTTCACGCTGGAAATTCTAAAAAGAAAAAGTGCACTTTAAATACCCGGATGATGCACTTAAATAACAGATAGTAGCTATCCGACTCCGATTATGAATGACAAATTAAATTTATTAAATTCATACACTACATGGTTGAGTACATAGTGCATAAGTACATAGTGTATAAGTGTATAGTGTATAAGTGTATAGTGTGTCATTTGGGACGCAGTTAATGTCTTTACCAATCAGTGATTGGCTCTTAAATTTAGAAGGCGGGACTATTCCGCCATATTGCGCGTTGCAGTCTCTCCCATTCATAAGTGTGGACCCTTTTCGTAAGACTGTGATAATGCGTTTCAGTGGTCATCAGCATCGAAAGTTTTTTATATTTTGATTAGTAGTATCAAAATATAAATAGAAAGTAGTATATTTTTATATTTTAATCCAGAAAAATTTCATAGGGCCCTACTATAGGAGTCTTTGGTGATACTCAGAGAGAGAGTGATACTGATGAGTGTGTGTGTGTGTGTCTATGTGTGTGTGTGTGTGTGTGTGTGTGTGTGTCTATATATGTGTGTGTATGAGTGTGTCTGTGTGTGTGTGAGTGAGAGTGTGTCTCTGTGTGTGTGTGTGTGTCTATATGTGTGTGTGTGTGTGTTTAGAGTCGCTGGCATTTGAGGACGGTCAGGCGGTGCAGTTGGAGGACGGGACCACGGCCTTCATTCACCACACACCTAAAGGTGCCCATACGCTAACAAGCTTACATGCACTGAGTCCCTGAGCGCGCTTGACCTCTGACCTCTGTGTGTGACAGACGGCTTCGACCCCTGCGCCGTGGAGGCCGTTCAGCTGGAGGACGGCAGCACGGCGTACATCCACCACCAGACAGGCGGCGCTGTGGAGCTAAACGCAGAGGCCATCGCCACGCTGGAGAGCTACGCTAGCAAGGTCTGACCACAAAGCTAGCCGTGATTTTTAGGGTTGGGTGTCGAAAACCGTTTCCAAGATCCGGGTATTCGATAAGACGCGTGCATTTCGATTCTGTGCAACGATTCCTGCGTTCGCATTTTAATGTGATTTAAAACGATTTAAGCGCGGGAAAGGAAAGAAATTGCGCGATCCCAGCCTTTTGCTCAATTTACACTGCAGAAAAGGTTGTTAGGGTCCTATGATTTGCGCAATGCAGAAAACGCGGACGGTATTGCGGAATCCAGTCATAAAAATGGAATTTACAGTTTAACGCAGAATTTCACGCAATTTGCCAAAGTTTGGATGAATCAATCTAAAGTACGTCATTACACTTCGATCAAATCGCGATATAAACTAGTATCTGTGAATATTAAGCTGCAAGCAAAGCATTTTAAATATGAATCGCTCATGTTCTGCGTGTCTCTGTGTGAATGAATGGCGCAGACGCACGGTTTTGTTTACTTCACACAAACTGAAGCGCGCGACGCTCGCGGTGATTTCAGCGTCTGTCGTCTCACTGAATGAGGACATAAATACATGAACAACATCTCCAGAACTGCTCTGAGAGTCAATCCATGAGCGTTTTATTTTTCATTTGAGTAAAACTGGTGTTAAATGTATGCACGGCAACCCGTCAAAATAAAAGTTCGGCTTAACTTGAAGAAATTGTAGCAGAAATTTATTAATATCATTCAGTAGAATGTAAGCAATACGGCTGGGCTACTACTACTAAATTGATAAAACTTTATTTTTTTAAAAGGAATAATCGCACAATATTTCTTCCATGTTTTAATTTGACTGGAAAATCCCATTTATTGACCAAAAAAATTTAATTTGTTTCATTTTCATGCTTTATGCCTTCATTCGATTAACCAGAAAAATGTAAATAAACAACACAGAATTTCATAAGGCTGTTGTAAGAATAAATAAAAATGGTTTCTATGCATTCAAATAATTAGACATGCTAAAACAGAATTTGGTAACAAACATAAGGTGTGAAAAAATAAAACCGTTCAAAGGCCTTTTAACATGTAATTTTATACGTTCTCGTGATTTTATACGTTCATGACTGGTGTTTGATTTGATATGGCTCAGCTGACGGGGTCAGAGGTCGAGGTCGATGAAAACATCGAGAACACAAACGGAGCGGAGCAGACCATCAAACAGGTGTGATAGACTTTTTCTGACTTTATTTATTTAAATTATTAATTGATTTTATTTATATCTTTATTCATTACGATAAATAATTTATTTATTTTATTAACCCGTTTAATCCCAATTTTTTTTCAGACATGAAAATATCCAGGTGATGCGTCATTAGTAAACCTTTGAAATAATCATTAATTATTTTTTGTGTGAAAAATAATGTGTGTACTGAATTAACATATTTCTGCAGTCATAAAAATTGTTATATATCTCAGCCCAGCTATTTGAAACTCTGTTTCATCACATTCTATTATGCATAAAAGCCCTTATACAACACTGACAGGAATACTGAGATAAATGACAAAAAATACAACAATCAACATATTTCAGAATTGTTACTTTATTGTAACAATATTATATTATAATTATATATATCAGGGGCGTTTCCTCCAAGGAGGCAGTGTCTCCTCAGAAACTGGATTAGGAAAATAATCGATATTACAAAAATGAAACTAATAAATATGACATTAATAAAAGTATAAAAGTCACTCGTTTTTATAAAGTAACACTGTCCAACAGCGACACCCGCAGGTAAAGTTACAGAGGAGGCTTGCCTCCCTTCAGCCCATTGACTTACAACAGAGAGCCCTTAGCACTTAGTGTAAATAGCACCTAACTAAGATTAATAAATGCTGTAGAAGTGTTGTTCATGTTAACTAATGTTAGCCTAACTAAAGAAGTCTTTGCAAAATGTTGTTCGAATTGTTACTGCCTTTCGTTATTATTTTGGAATAAAGGTAAAAATGCATAAAAACACTGGGAAATGTATAATTATTATTTAAAATATAAAATAAAATACAAAATAATGTTAATAAAATACAAAATAGAATTATATAATGTTTATTTAACCAATTCAGATTGATTCAGTATTATTCAATATTTATTCAGATAGATTGATAATTTATAAATTTTATTTATTTTTATTATTTAAAACAATTATTGATTTTGCTAATTTCTTTGTTTATTTAGATTGATAACTGATTTTATTTACCAATGTGTATTTATATAGATAATTGACTGATTTTGATAGATAGCCAGGTAGATTGCTAATTTACTCATTTGATTTATTTAGATAATTTATTGATTTTATTCGTTAGTCGTTTTATTATTTTTTAACACTATTATAGTATTTATTCATATTTTTATATAGCTTTTATTTTCATATTTTCAGTTTTCATTTTAATTTTACTTCACATTTTAATAATTTTGTTGTGTATTTTAGTATTTTTATTAGTTATCAAAAATATTTGTATTTATATTTTATTATTTATATTTGTTTCAGTTTACCAGTTTTAGTAGTTAAACTTAAACCTACTTATTTCATACGATACGATATAACTTTATTGTCAGAAAACGTCTGAAATTTGTCTTGCGTTACAGCAGGTTCACTTACAATTACAAAGACTTTAAACTTTCAGCTCTAAAACAGCTTGGTGTACAAAAGAGTACTTTAGTCTAATTCGATTATATCTCCGTCGATTATAATTCATTATACAACGCATGATTTGGTTCATTTAGTTTCCAAGGCAACATTTCTAACTTTTGACTAACTATTGTTCAAGTTTTTAATTTTTGGTTTGTTTTTTCATTTTATTTCAGCTTTACTTCAATTGCCGAAAACAATTTTTAATAGTTTTAGTTAACAATAACAATACTGCTTTGTTTATATAGATAGTTTATTTGTTTATTTTAATTTAAATACTTTAATTTAATTTGCTTATTTAAACAGATAGATGCATTGTGTATATATAATTGTCCGTATAACGTGTGTTGTTTCTCAGCTGATGTTTGAGGGGAAGGTCTGGAGCTCCGGTAAAGTCCAGCAGGTCGGAGAGAAGAGTTTCCGCTGTGGACACACGGGCTGCGGCCGATACTACACCACAGCACACCATCTGAAGGTACAGAGCTTCCCACAATGCACTGGGGCAGAGCAGGCCTTAAGAGTCTCACAGCTGTGTGTACAGTTGAGGTCAAAAGTTTACACCCCCCTTTCAGAATCTGCAAAATGTTAATTATTTTACCAAAATAAGAGGGATCATACAAAATGCATGTTATTGTTTATTTAGTGCTGACCTGAATAAGATATTTCACATAAAAGATGTTTGCATATAGTCCACAAGAGAAAATAATAGTTGAATTTATAAAAATGACCCCGTTCAAAAGTTTAACCCTTGATTCTTAACACTGTGTTGTTAGCTGAATGATCCACAGCTGTGTTCATGAGTTTCTTGTTTGTCCTGAACAGTTAAACTGCCTGCTGTTCTTCAGAAAAATCCTTCAGCTCCCACAAATTCTTTGGTTTTTCAGCATTGTTGTGCATTTGAACCCTTTCCAACAATGACTGTATGATTTTGAGATGCATCTTTTCACACTGAGGACAACTGAGGGACTCATATGCAGCTATTACAGAAGCTTCAAACGCTCGCTGATGCTCCAGAAGGAGAAACCATGCATTAAGAGCCGGGGGTGAAAACTTTTGAACAGAATGGAGATGTGTACATCTTTCTTATTTTGCCTAAATATCATATTTTTTTCATTTAATGCATGGTTTCTCCTTCTGGAGCATCAGCGAGCGTTTGAAGCTTCTGTAATAGCTGCATATGAGTCCCTCAGTTGTCCTCAGTGTGAAAAGATGCATCTCAAAATCATACAGTCATTGTTGGAAAGGGTTCAAATACACAAAAATGCTGCAAAACCAAAGAATGTGCAGGAGCTGGGGGATTTTTCTGAAGAACAGCAGACAGTTTAAGTGTTCAGGACAAACAAGAAACTCATGAACAACTATCACTAAACAAGAAAACACAGCTGTGGATCATTCAGCTAACAACACAGTATTAAGAATCTTGAATGGGGTCATTTTTATAAATTCGACTATTATTTTCTCTTGTGGACTATATGTACACATCTTTTATGTGAAATATCTTATTCAGGTCAGTACTAAATAAACAATAACATGCATTTTGTATGATCCCTCGCTTGCTAGACACAAAAATAACACACAAGAACAGTGAGTACACAAAAATACTGTTAACCCTCCATGAAATATGGGGGTTTCCCAAGAAGCGGGAAAATTCGGAGAAGGAGGGATTGATGTGTTTCCTGAACACGTGCATGTGTGTGTGTGTGTGTGTGTGTGTGTGTGTGTGTGTGTGTTGCAGGTGCACGAGCGCTCGCACACGGGTGACCGTCCATACCAATGCGAGGTGCCCTCCTGCGCTAAAGCTTTCGCCACCGGTTATGGTCTCAAGAGCCACCTGCGCACGCACACGGGCGAGAAACCCTACAAATGCCCCGAGGACATGTGCTACAAAGCCTTCAAAACCTCCGGAGACCTGCAGAAACACGTGCGCACGCACACCGGTACGAACGCACGACCGAACTGAGTTCAAACGCAGAAATTTCCAGCGATATCGTCGACTTGATCGTCCAGCTCAGTTCAGTTTAAATAGTATCTGTGCAATGACATCACTGAATTCAATGAACTGCATTTAACAAAAAATTGAGTGTTTACTATTGTCGTTTTGCATTATTGACACACTATTTTTCTGTTTAATACTGTAAAGCTGCTTTGACACAATCTGTATTGTTAAAAGCGCTATATATAAAATAAAAAAAATCAGTGACATAACTGTCTTTCTCTTGCAGGCGAGAAGCCGTTTAAGTGTCCGTTCGAGGGCTGCGGACGCTCCTTCACCACCTCCAACATTCGTAAGGTTCATACGCGAACGCACACGGGCGAGCGGCCATATTTGTGCCCGGAGCCGTCCTGCGGAAGAGCCTTCGCCAGCGCAACCAACTACAAGAACCACATGAGGATACACACCGGTAACACAGCGCTCACATGTACCGCTGCTCTAATAATTCCAATAGGAATCCGCACGATTGGGAATTTTGCGCAAACGGCGAAAAGGTTCCCAGTGCAGATTTCGCTCCAGTTCATGTTGGTCACGTGAATTTGATGAGTTGACTACCATAAAGCTGATTGATTTGAAAGTGACTTCAAACATTGTTACACTGTTGACAGTAGACCTGCGAATTCCACAAATGTGGACTCAACTTGGGACGATAGCTATAACAGTAACGATAAAGGTTTGAAAATCGTTCTAATTCTTTGATAATAGGGAACTTCGCACCACAATTATAATGATACAAAGGAACAGTATCATTGGAATCACTTTCATAAGTACTGTATTTTTATATCTTCAGTTTTCGTTTTAATTTTACGTCGTTTTACTAATTTTATGTGCTTGTCATTTTTATTAGTTCTTTTTAATATTTCTGTTTAGCTTTTATTTTTTACTTGTTTTAGTTTTAACAATATTATTACTTCAAATTTAAGTAAGCTGCCATTTTTTTTCAGATGATGAACGATAAAAACATTCAGAGCCTATCAGAATCCTTCCGACTTCAAAGAGCTCCAGCATTTAAAGTGGCAGACCACAAAACTGCAGCTCACTTATAATAAACAGAATGTTATCATGCGTTGGTGTGGACGATAATATGGTTAACATTATAGTTATCTTTATAATTAACTGCCTTCAATTATTTGCATTCACATTTACCGTTCCTCTGAAATTTCATAGACAAAATCCTGCGCAAGAGTCTGCGCAATCTGGAATTTTGCACAAGGGCGAAAAAGTTCTCCACTTAGATTTCGCAGGTGTTCAAGTTGGTCACGCAAATTTGCCACGTTGACCAACAGAAAGCTGCATGGTTTGAAAGTGACTTCATGTATTGCTACACTGTTGACAGTGGGCCTTTTATTGCAAGCAAAATTTCGCTAATGCGAACGCAACTTAAGTGTTAAGGCCCGATCACACCAAAAATGCTAACTATTTCAATCATGAAAAAGTTTAAAAAATTGTTCTAATTCTTTAATAATAGTGAACTTCACACCTTCACACACGGTGATTTTGTTATGTGCTTGTCATTTTTCTTAGTTTTTTTATATTTCTGTTTACTAGATTCAATTTATATTCCGTTTTAAATTTAGCAGTTTTAGTACTTCAATTTAAACTTATGAGTCTTAGTTGCGATTTTTTCAGCTGACGTACGACTTTAAAGAGCTCAAGCATTTAAGGCGACAGGCATTATGGTGTTGTTATGGTGTGGACGTTACCATTAGTTATCGCTATAGTTATCGGTCTTTAGTGTCTGTTTCATCGTTCTGTTTGCTGTCTCAGGTGAGAAGCCGTATCTGTGCACGGTTCCCGGCTGTGGGAAGAGTTTCACGGAGTACTCCAGTCTTTATAAGCATCACGTGGTCCACACGCACTGTAAGCCGTACACCTGCAGCCACTGCGGGAAGACCTACAGACAGACGTCCACACTGGCCATGCACAAGCGCACCGCGCATGGAGACTTCGACACCGTGGAGGACGCCGGTACGTCTTTCTCTTATTTCGCTTGACTTGCTTTCACTTTCACCGAATTCGAAGGCACTTACGAACAATTTCGCACGCAGACGCAGAGGTTTTCGAGGCGTCGCCGCAGGACGCCGAGCAGAACGAATGTGATGCCAAAGTCACCATGGAAACCGACGACATCATCAGCTCACACCTGCAGGTGCTCGGCACGGCCGTCACCATGGTGACCCAGGACGGAACCATCGGTGGGCAGCAGGTCACCATGGTTACGGATGGCAAAGAGCTGCAGCCGGTGGGTATTATGGGATGGACGGTGTCGCGTGGTCATCAGAGCTCAAATCGCTAACTGTGTTCGTTCCTGCAGGTTGCCATAGTAACGTCAAATGGCATCATGACTGAAGTGAACGCGTCGCTGTACCAGCAGGTGGCGCTGCTAGCAACAGAAAACGGCACACAGATCGCAGTACAGGTACGAAACACGGCTAATTACTCGGATTACAATACTACACACTAAACGTACATCAGTGGTGATGTGGAGTCCATACTTTCAAGTATGTTTGTGTTTACGTGTAACATTTTAGCTAAAATAACTACCTTATACTTATCACTATTACTTCACATGGCAGTTTTGGCCTCATATTGATCGCTTTTTGTGTTGTCAACACGTTTAAAAACTTGAAAATGTAATTACAATTTTAGCCTAAATAGTACGCCATATTGGCATACTGTTTTAACACACAATCATTTGGAAACTAAAAAAGACTTATAGAATGCCAATTTATTTTATTCAGGAAAAACTAAATACTATTATTGTAGTTTGTACAGTATATAGTGAGAATATCTTGTTGAACTGTTTGTGTGTATTGGTTGTGTATGCAGTTAGAAGATCAGCAGACGTTAGAGGAGGCGATCACCATGGCAACAGCGGCGATTCAGCACAGCGGACTGACCTCAGATCAGTGACCGCTCAAAAAAATCACGTTCAGACGCCTCGTAGAGAGAACAAACAATTTTTTTACGTTTACGTTAGCGTGTATGAGAAAGAGTTTCTGCAGTCTTAAAGGTTTTTTTTACCGGCTTCGAGCCAGTAGGTTGCGAAACAAGATGAAAATAAAAATGTATATTTGTCAATAAATAAGCTTTATCCAGTAACTCTTTGTAAAATGTGTTTTTTGACTTATTAAACACTCTTCAAACGAGAGACGCGACGAAAACCAGAACCTGAAAAACTAGCTAATCTGTTCATAGGCAATCGAACGTCTTCGCTGATCCAAACGGGCGTCTGCTTCTCATTAATCGTGTTTTGCAGAATATTTGTATTAAAATATATTTTCTCCTAATGATAATGGAATTATGTCTGTTTTGTATTGTATTTGTGAAAAAACAGCGCAGGATTATATGCAGCTGTCACAAAAATTAGCACATCCAAATTGATTTTCTTCCTCATATTTCATTTTAGCGGCTTAATGTGAGAAATATTATACATGTGTGTCGCTACATTGAGTTCTAGAAAAACGTTAATAACCCTAAATACATTTCTGATGCATTTCTCACTGAGGTAAAAGTCGTTAGAAGACGCGCGCTGTTTTTGATTTGAATCTCCCGCGTTTTTTATTTGAATCTCCCGCCTCGTCTAAATCAGTGAAAACAGCACTGAAGTTAACCATGTAATATGGCGGTTCTTAAACAAACAAACACACATTGTATTTACTCACCTAAGCGCATTTTATTCGCATTTGTCTCTTGTTCATGGCTGCAGTACAGTAATGTGTCCAGCAGAGGTCAGCAGCTTTACTCTCTATGTCTCCAATCTACAGTTTGCTCATTATATCATGAACTGTACCGAAACTTTACAGTGCGCTTACACTAAAAGAACCTCAAAGAATAACACACATATTTACATAACTAAATGAGGACCTACCACAGAGTTTTAATCATTAAGTTAATAATGACTACAAACTACCCAAACACTAACCTTAATTTTGTATTTTTACATTTTTAAATGTTTTGCCTCAGTTGAAGTGACAAATACGAGCAAATATTGAGATATATTTAATAGCTTCTTTACTGTGTATTTTTAAAGATGTTTTCCCATTACATTTCCTGTTATATAGACACAGAATGTGAATTTATGTTGAATTTGATGTATTTCCGTGTTTTACAACACACACACACACACACACACACACACACACTTGTTCTCAGTTCTTCCTCGACAACAGTCTCTGATTGGCTGAGCTGCTGTGATGTCAGCCAGTGACTGAGAGGGGGCAGAAAAAAGCAGCTGGTTTGGGGGTTTCCTCCTCAATACTGACTGGAAACATCTGTGTGTGTGTGTGTGTGAGAGTGTGTGTGTGTGAGAGTGTGTGTGTGTGTGTGTGTGTGTGCGTGTGTGTGCTTAGAAAATGTAGAAAAAAACAAAGGAACTTATTACCAAAACTTAGGGGGAAAAACATATAAACTTCGTACTAAAACGAAGAAGATTTAGAAAAATCAGGAAATTAGTAGCCTACGAAAACTTAGAATTTTTAGAAAAAAAACATAGGAACTTAGTATGAAAACTTAGGGGGAAAACATAAAAACTTAGTACTAAAATGTAAAAATAAATTGTGAAAAATCAGGAACTTAGTACTAAAACTTAGAAAAAACAAACAAACAATCTTAAACTTAGTACTAAAATTTAGAACATTTACAAAAATCAGAAACGTAGTACTAAATCTTAGAAACGTAGTACTAAATCTTAGAAACGTAGTACTAAATCTTAGAAACTTAGTACTAAATCTTAGACATTTTAGAAAAAGAACATAAGAACTTAGAAAATTAGAAAAAAAATAGGAACTTTGTATTAAAACGTAGAAATTTTAGAAAAAGAACCCCATATGAACTTAGTACCATAACCTAGGGGAAAAAACATATAAACTTAGTACAAAAACTTAGACACTTCCTGGTGAGACTATTTTGCCTATGTTTTAAAAAAGTTATTGCACCAGGGATCAAATATAAACACACAAAGAATGTCTCAAACTGTGCTCAGATTTGTCTGCAATCGGAAGTCTTCGATCCTAATATAAGCTCAAACGTATCTCATCAAATGATCCGAACTGCTCCGCATTGGTCGTATACTTTTACTGGATGATAACTAGTGACTCGTTTGGCTCTGTTTTATTTCTCCTGAGGGATTTTAGTTGAAACATCTGAGATCTAGCAGACAGTTTCACCAGTCTGTGTGTGACACCCTTCCTCCACCCGTCTGAGACTCTTTTGTGATGCATTACACACACTCACACATGCGCGCACACACACTCACACTCACACACACACACACACACTCTGAATGGCCGTCGTTCACACACCCGCGGGATGCTGGGGCTTCATGAATGATGTTTGTGAAACTCCAGGAGCATTCAGCTGAACAGGTTTGATTTGCAAATCATTTGTGTGCGACTCTCTGATCCAGAAACACGGGTGCGAAGGGGGAAATGCCACAAACACACACATTCACAAACCCCAGCAGACACGTTCACCACTAAAATACAGTCAGATACATAAATAAAACAATCCTAGAAAATCTGTTAATTTACTTATTTACATTATTGTTCATCTATTTATATACATATGTGACCCTGGAGCACAAAACCAGTCACAAGGGTCAATTTTTTGAAATTGAGAATTATACATCATCTGAAAGCTGAATAAATAAGCTTTCCATTGTTAGGATAGGACAATATTTGGCCGAGATACAACTATGTGTTAGTTTAGTCTTAAAGTATTTGTCTTTTTTCCTCACTCTCTGCTTTGGTTTTTCCCCACTTTCATTATAAGGAAGTGACATCATGAAAGTTTTTTTTATTTACCGTATGGTCAAACCAAATATATGCTGATTTGCTGCTCAAGAAACATTTCTGATTATTATGTTGTGCTGCACAATATTTCTGTGGAAACCGTGATGCATTTTATTTTTCAGGATTCACAGATGAACAGAAAGTTCAAAAGAACAGCATTTACAATATTTCTGTGGAAACCGTGATGCATTTTATTTTTCAGGATTCACAGATGAACAGAAAGTTCACAAGAACAGCATTTATTTGAAATAGAAATCTTTTGTCACATTATAAATGTCTCTTTTGATCAATTTAATGTGTTCTTACTGAATTAAAGTATTAATTTCTTTCAAACCTCTGAATATATATATATTTTAGTAGAAATATCCAAATTGCACCAGTTCCTGAGAATGACCCTTCAAGGGCCATTGTGATTTTACAACAGACCAAATCAGGTCCATATCACACCTGTTGTGTCCATAAAATAACGTGCAAAGTTCATTTGTGTGTGTGTTTAATGCAGACTCAATCCTGATCAGATTAACAATCAGCTTTATAATCACTAGCAAAATAATCAGAGAACAGCTCAATGTGTGCGTGTTTTCTTTGTCTTGTGTCTGCAAAAGAGGGTCACAGTGTTTCAGGGATTAACCCAACTAACCAAATAGCCCTAAAACCCCCCGCCTTCACACCAACCTACCATGTGATTATGAGATATCTGATCAGATTTCATCAGAAACAGTGCATAAAAACCCAAGAACTGACCTCAGATCTGCCCAGATACGACCGTCGGCCAATCACACGGCAAGAAAACCACGCAGCTGAAGGGTCAGAGGTCACACAGGAATCTCAACAGGTTTGACCCCCATCACGACATCATACTCCACCTAAACAGAACAAATGATAACAGCTGAAGCAAATGAGACTCTTAAAACGCCTAAATGTCATTGAACATATAATGAAATATCAAATCAAATCAAAATATTATAAACTGTTTTTCAGATTAAAAAACATTATGATCACATAGTGATAGAAATTTGTCTTAGGTTAGGGCTCATAAATAACAAAATTTAAAAAAAACAAACAAAAAAAACATTTAAATTTAAAAATTATATAGTACTGAAATCAAAAAAACGGTACTAAACTTTTAAAAATCAGAAACTTAAAAACTTAGAGGGAAAAACTTACGTAGTACTTAAACTTAGAAGATTTTGAAAAATCTTACAAACTTACAAAACTTAGTACTAAAAGTTAGAAACGTACAAAACAACACTAAACTTAGAAAAGTAGTACTGAACTTAGATAAAACTTAGAAACGTAGTACTAAAACGTAGATAAAACTTAGAAACGTAGTACTGAACTTGGATAAAACTTAGAAACGGAATACTGAACTTAGGTAAAACTTAGAAACGTAATACTGAACTTAGGTAAAACTTAGAAACGTAATACTGAACTTAGATAAAACTTAGAAACGTAATACTGAACTTAGGTAAAACTTAGAAACGTAATACTGAACTTAGGTAAAACTTAGAAACGTAATACTGAACTTAGGTAAAACTTAGAAACGTAATACTGAACTTAGGTAAAACTTAGAAACGTAATACTGAACTTAGGTAAAACTTAGAAACGTA